CCGGAACAGGCAGGGTTTAGAAGTGGATATAGTACTGTGGATCACCTTCAGGCAGTCCGCACTCTCATAGAGAAAAGCACCGAATACAACTTCCCTATATATGTCGCCTTTGTGGATTATGAGAAGGCTTTCGACTCTATAGAGCTACACGCCATCCTCGATGCCCTACAAAATGCCAGAATAGACTACAGATACTCGGGCATAATATCATCTATTTACAAATCAGCTACAATGACTATCAAACTGGATGACATAAATATCACAAATAAAATTAAAATGGAAAGAGGAGTCCGATAGGGAGATACTATTTCCCCCAAACATTTTACACTGGCCCTGGAGGACGTATTTAAGAAGCTGAACTGGGACAATAAGGGTATTAAGGTAGATGGTGTGATGCTTAACCACTTGCGCTTCGCTGATGATGTTGTCCTGGCCTCATCGTTGGAAGAACTTCAAACAATGCTCGAACAACTTCACCACACATCTGCGCAAGTAGGTTTAAAAATGAATTTGTCTAAAACTAAAACCCTAAAAAATGAAAATGAAGAGCAAGTTAATGTTAATGGACAAAGGATTGAGAACGTTAAAGAGTATATTATTATATATCTAGGTCATGCCATAAAACTCGGCAAGGAAAATCAAACAACCGAAATTTCTAGAAGGATCAAACTCAGATGGGCAGCTTTTGGTAAACTTAATTTTATATTCAAAAGCAAAATCCCAAATAGCCTAAAAAGAGACGTTTACAACAAATGCGTCCTGCCTGTCATGACCTATGGTTTGGAGACTATGACGATGACAGGTTGCGAGTGAGTCAAAGAGCTATGGAAAAAGCCATGATGGGTATCAGTCTTCGCGACCATATTAGAAATGAAGACATTCGCCGACAGACGAGGATAACGGACATCGTAGAGAGAATAGCTAACTCTAAATGGTCTTGGGCAGGACACTTGGACAGACAGTCCGAGGAAAGATGGGCAAAAAGACAGCTTTGCTGGAGGCCACGCCTAGCAAAACGCCCAGTCGGCCGACCTCCTAAAAGATGGACTGATGATATCGAAACCGTAGCCGGTAAGAACTGGATGAGGAGAGCACAGAATCGAAACGAGTGGAAGAAACTGAGAGAGGCCTACATTCTGCAGTGGATGAGTAATGGCTGAGAAGAATGTAGAAGGTGTTGACAAACTTTTTTATCATAGCATGCATATTTAAATATCTTTAAATGTCTCAAAAACCAAAGCATTTAAACATATTAAACTCTTATAATAAATGCCTTATTTTATGTTCAAAAATCCAAAAATAAAATAAAATACCTGGTGTTCCATAAGAAAAAATATAACTTTGGTTTGGATCTTAGTTCTGACACACCTTGTACATTTCAAAATAATTTTAAATTATGTACATTGCCTTCTCACATATACCTATCTGTGTTACAGAGACGCCACGACACACGGAAATGAAACAAACAATTTTTCAGAAGTGTCAAACTAGTACTTTTATAAAATAGGCGTTTTCTTAACAGTTCACGCTGGTCCTAAAAAGACTATCAAATATTAAATAGGATAACTAATTCTGTAGTCATTCTTAAAAATCAAAGATTTTAATAATAGCGTTTATAACATGTTAGTGTAATCTGCATTATCCTTAAAACATTTACATGATGCTGGAAAGAATATGGCAGAACGTACCACGTTTTAGTCACGGTTGGAAAAACGCACCAGCGTTTAGTCTCAACCAGTAAGAGCAGGGAAAATCACATTATGGACTATATAATGGTACATTTTGCTTAAATGCCTCCCGGCGCCGGCGCAAATTTTTTCAGTTATTTTAAGAACGATTATTCTGATTTGAATGAGATTCTGGGTGTCTTTGTTTTGCTAAGTGCTTTACCATTTGACTTTCACAAAAATCAAGAAAAAGAGCAGAGAGGGTGAAAACTACCCCCATCCCTTTTTAAAAAAATAGTATAAATATTTTTTAATTCGACCAACGACCGATTTTTTTTTTCGTAAAATGGCTCTTCTAATATTTACTACATTTTTTGTCTTTTGTAAAAAAAACATTTCCCCAACATACCTTTTTGGGGAAAAATATGGAATTTTATGTTAGATTCAGAAATTATCATATATTTGACAATAATCTTCAGAAAAAGCTTAAAAATTTAGTAAATTTTAAAGTATCTAATGTTTGGGTTTATTTTTGATGAATAATCTCCCTCTAATAGACAAACGAAGCACTTTTTCCAAAGGTAAATTGTATAGGTAAAAGATCAGAAAGATCTGATATCGGTGACGAAAATACTATTAGATCAAGCAAAAAGTAGGCTTAGTGTTTAATGAGAAGAAAACTAAGTTTATAAAGTGGTCAGATAAGAATTTTAGGAAGGGAAGATGTCTACAAATGGATTCTGAGAGAGGGAAACGATACAAGTTTGAGAAAGTAGATACATTTACATATCTAGGAACCGTATTTATAAGAAAGCCAAATGTAATTCAGGAAATTGTGGCAAGAACAATGACAGGAAATAGATGTGTTAGCGCACTAGAACATCTCTAGAAGCTTAAAAATCAGAATGATACGACCAAAAGTGTTGTATGCATGTGAAACGTGGACGTTCAATGCAACGGAAAATTCGGGGTTAGAGAATTGGGAAAGAAAAATACCGAGGAAGATTTTTGGAGGAAAAAGATAGACAACATAAAGACCAGAAGAACTAATGAAGAATTAAAGCAACTATATCGGGCATCAAGTATAACGGGAGTAGCAAGAGCGCAAAGATTGAGATGGCTGGGGTACATTCAAAGAATGGCGGAACCAATGGCTGAGTTCCTAGAATGATAATGAGACGTGAAATAGGTGGAAAGAGAAGGAGGGGTAGCCCTAGAAGCAGATGGAAAAAGGATGTTGAAGGACTTGAGAAGGATAAGAGTGGATGGGTGGAGAATAAAGGCGAAAGACAGAAATAAGTGGAGAAAGATAATCAACCAAGCCATGAGCCTTTTAGGCTTTTAGAGCTACTAATATAAATTATGAGCAACTAAATTTTTCAGTTTTCCGCTATATTTCCGGAAATGACAAAGATAAGTTCAATTATTAAACGTATTAGCACTGGGCTCACTATCAGACAACTTTGCTCCAATTTAAGCCACCACGTATTCTAGAGAGAGAGAGAGAGAGATATGTGTTAAAGACGCATCGACTGTAGAGTCTTTTAGCGTCACTTTATCCCATTATTTATATATTTTTATATATGTCGATATCCTTTATATAATCCAACATAGCCTTGTTATTTTGGTAGGAAAGGACTACCTCAGGGTTATCCATGATACCGTGTTGTCTTCGTTTTAACGCGTTCTTTGGGCATTCAAAGATAAGTGTTTGACAGATATTGGAAGATTACATGTTTCACAAATGGGCTGATTCTGTCCTTTAAGGAGGTGTTCATGGGTAAGTTTCATGTGTCCTAAACGAATTCTAGTGAGCACAACAAAATCTCTTCTAGGTAAGTTAACTACATTATTTTCAAAATAGTCCCTTTTGATTTCATGAAGCTTATTATCATTCATGTCTAGTTGGATTATATTATCGATCATATGTTTGCCATAATTCTTTAGATCTTGCACGGAGAAAACAAGGTTGGTTTTATGAGGGTTGGGACTTGAAATGCAGCCAAGTAGTCAGCTCTGTCATTGCCAGGAATTCCTATGTGGCTCGGAAGCCAAAGGAAAGTGACGCTGTAGTGGTTGATATTGGCCTTCTGTAGAAGCATTTTGATTGCTATAACTAGTGGATGGTTGGAGTAGAAAGAGGAAATACTTGAAATGGAACTCAATGAATCGGTAGCCACGACCCATCTCTTATAGCTGGAGGTCAATATATGTTGAATGGCCTTAAATATTGCAAAAAGTTCTGCTGAGAATATTCCCGTTATGGGACTTAGTGAGAAACACATTTCTTTATCAAACGTATGAAAAGCCGCTCCAGTGTGCCTATCAGTTTTCGAGCCATCGCCATCGGTGTAAACCAGTCGATGACTCTTATACTTCGAGTTGATGAGATCTTTGAATTGTGCTCTTATAGTGAGATGTGAGCATTCCTTGTTGTTGTGGACTTTGAGTGATAGGTCAAGTGAGAATGGGTGCAGACTCCATGGGGGAAACATACGGGCAATATTGAAAGGAGGAGGCAAATCGATTGACAGTCTTTCCTTTATATCTACATAACGGTGGTGTGATGCTGATTGATACTGTTTGTATCTATGTTTGATTTGGGGGTAAATAGTTTTGAAGAATTTTTTGTGATTAGGGTGTTCCAGATTAACATGTAGACCAAACGCATATGCTAATAGGTGTCGTTCTCTAATATAATTTAGTGTGAGTTGTTCTGATTCACACATTAAGCTTGGTATGGGACTCGTGTGAAAAGCGCCAAGTGATTTCCTGATTCCCATGTTATTTACCGCGTTCAGCTTATTTAAATAAGACCGCGGTGCAGACGCGTAAACTTGAGACCCGTAATTGATTTTGGATAAGACACAAGCGTTACTAGCAAATACTACAAATCAGTGGCGTAGCAAGGGGGGGGGCGGAGGGGGAGGCCGCCCCTGGTGGCGACACTCCAAGAACCTGCGGGGCAACAAAAAATTGTTATAAAGGCGACGGACGGATTCTGTAGGGGCGGCAAACCTCTCTCCTAGAGGCTCTCCGCCCCGGGCGCCACTAACCCACGCTACGCCACTGCTACAAATACCGTTTCCTAGATCCCAATACTGAGAGTTTAATTTGAAAACCCCGGTATACTTATAAAACAGTAATAACCATCTAATTATTATACAATAGAGTGAAAAATTATTTCTCGCATATCAATTTTAACCAAATTTAACATCATATTTTTTATTATCATATTTTAAGGAGTTACCATTTCTATAATTAATAATTAATGAAGTAAGATCTTATCAGAGTTACTGAATATACATATACATTAAGTAAATGTAAACTTACATTATCAGCACCGTATATCAAAGGTTTCCCGCTTTGATCCTAGTCATTAATGGAAGTTGGCTGTGTTTATCGGCAGTTAGTAATTACACCTGAAACAAAATTAATTTAATTTAGTTTCGAATAAATAATCGAGTTTTTATTCATCACACACGTTAACATTTTACTTGATTTTACATATTAAAACAACACAAATAATACTATATATTTTAGAAATACTTCTTAGGTACCCTATTTATTATTGTCTATTAGTGGTGCGCAAAACCGTTATTTTTAAACAACAGTTGAAACTGTGTGTTATTTATATATAACAGCTTAAAATAACAGGTTTCTGTTATTTTTTGACTTTAATCTTAAACATCTAAAAGATCATACACATTTTAACTTAGACTTTAGGGTGTAGAGGTTCGATAAGAAGGGATTTTTCAAAACTTGAATTCTAAGGGGGTGAAACCACCCCTCAAATATTAGAATGTTTTTTATTTAAAAACCGGTGAGTTTTGCCGAAAAACTCTGAAACACATAATCTGTTATTTTGTTGTTTTACAAATTTAAGATTTTTTAAAAATTTATACAAGGTGGTTTATAAAATATGACCATTAAGCAGGGTTGGAAAATCAGATTTATTTTATTTAAATCAGATTTTTTTGATATTGATATCCTAAATGGCTAAATCTTTATAACTCTGCCCGTTATCGATAACATTAATAATTCTAGGGTGCGTTTATCATTTTTCCACATCGGTCACCAATATATTTCGCAAAAAAGTCGCTCGCTTCAGATCAAAAGGATTTTTTTTCAAACGTCTCAAAAGTATTAATTTTTGTCATTTTAACGCCTAGGTATAAAAGTAAAGCACTGTTACGGCTAAGCACAAAAGTACAAAAATATATTATTAAACTGATATTAAGTGTCAAATTCAACTAGTGTACAAATTGTTGCTCGATTACTGTTTATATTATTTGCAATGTTTGAAATTGATTAAAAAATTATTTGTAATGTTTTAAAAAAAATAGTATGTTCTATTAGGAGTAAAAATGTACTTTTTGTGCTTCCTTGTAACGTCGGAATTTACGATGGTCCTTCAAAGGTACAGCATCATCAAAAAAAGTATAATTTTTACTCCTAATAAAACAATACACTATTGTTCGGAAATATGCTTAAGTCGAGAATGAAATTAGTATTATCCATAGATTTAGTAAGAACATATATCACATTTTGCATTTTAATCCAATCAAACAACCGGAGGTTGACGACGTACTGTAAAAACCAACTGAGATAGAGAAGGCGACATTGCCACATATCAAATTTGCGTCTATCTACTTAGTTTGATTTGCAGAAAAGGTGACTTTAAAACCTTCACCGGATATCAATAAATCTCAATTTCTTAATTAAATTAATAGTTTATTTTTAAAGAAGCATGCGTAATAATATGCTATTAACAAGAGGATATATGCGTTACTATTAAAGGACATGTTTACTGTTTAATGTGCTGAAACGTCTAGAACTATTGGCAACGTCGCTGCTAGTCTTCCAGAATGAAATGAGCCGTCCGTCCCACCACCCCTCGCGACGGTCCTTGGTCCGTTATAGCGTACTACGTTTAGCTTACGGTGTGTTCGAAGTCGGAATCAAGTCCGAAGTGAACTTTTCAGTGTTTTTCAGTAGTTTTTGTTTTTGTTTAACGTACTTTTGAATCTGCGAATTTTCAATATGGTACGACAGTGTCAAGTGTATGGAAAAATATGCTCAAATTACCCGAATTTGTCTTTTCATAGGTAGGTATTGTTTTTTCCGCCGTAATTGTACATAGGCGTCCACAAGGGAGCCTCTCACAATAATTTCTAATTAGGTATGTTTATAAACTGTCATTTGAGATTAAATGGGAAGTTCTAAATAATACTGCCTATTCTAAACAAGAAAAATTTATTTATAAGTTTTATAACATCTCTAAATTTGGACGAAAATAATATTTCTGTTTGCTGTGGGTAATTTTCTCAGGGAAAAAACGTAAATAAAAATGACTTTTTAAGTCAAAAAAAGTCAAAAGGACAAGTTATTCCAAAAAAGGACTGTCCTTTTCAAAAAAGGACAGGTGGCAACCCTAGGTATTTCTGGAATGGAAATTTAATGGCAAATCTACAACTTTAGTTTGAAAATATGTTCCGGCCACCTATGTTAACAAAAATGTCTAAAATGTGCTTTACCATTGCCTCCATATTCTGAAAAAAAATTGAAAGAAAAGTCACCAACCACACACCTAATATAGAACTGTTTCGGAAGCCTGAGTCACCCTGTAAATATTCAAAAGTAACTGAAAGTTTATATAGAAGTAACTGAAAGTTTAAATTGAAAATCGACGTAGGAGCGATTTTCGAAAAGCACCTACTAACGTTTCAACATAGGTATATGTGGGATATTAATTATATTATTATATTAGACCTTATAACAAAACTCATCTGATGAAAAACTGTTAATGTAGTATATTAATATGGAGTAAAAATTGTACTAATTACTTTACTTTTACTTTACTAATTAAATTCGTTCCAAAAAACGATACGCCACTGGCCATTAGAACAATCCAAATGCGCCTAGTTGCCGGGGTCGGAAATTTTAGACTTCTTTGTCTCTTCTGTCCTTGTTTGACACATTGGAATGTTTGATACACTACCAACGAGTATTTATGAATGAAATGTTCGGTCTATCTTTATAATGTCTTTGGTATTATCTAATGTCAAAGTGTAAAATACTTACTGCAAATCAAAATGTCGGTAAGAATTTGGAAAAATACAACCATTTCAAAAAAAAATATAAAACAACATGTTTCCTGACAACGATTATTATAGATTCTCGGGAATGAAGATATAGTCTCTATATCAGAAGAACCTAGTTCTGCACTAGACTGCGAATGATATGTATTCGAACAGCGAATTTTTGTCACTTATACATAAATTTTAAAATAAATCGCTGCGTTTAGCGGTCTAATGGATTCACACGAAATTACTTCAAAAATCGGTCCAACATTTAAATTGATGAATATATATGTTTATATAGTTTTATAACATTTACAATTACTTTTCGATTTATTATCTGTTATATCTTTTATAGAAATATTTTTTATAGTTTTCTAGGACACATTTTTATAACTTTTAAAGCTATTTTTTGATCTATAATAAAGTTTTAATAAAATTATATTTTTTATATTTAAATCAATGATTAAAATTAAAAAAATCATTTGATTTAAATCATGCCAACCCTGCCAATGGGGTAATCACGATTCTGCTTAAACTGAAAGGATTATATTATATCCGTATTGTAGCACATTTTTAGATAACTTCTTTATTTTTAAGATTGATGGTCAAACATCAACGAAATATTCTTTATGTTTGGACTAAATTTTCTCGAAAATTAAGACATAATTTAAAATTCCGTGACCGAAATAATTTAAAATACTGAAATAGATTGAAGTTTTCTGTGCTATTTCGATATACTCGTATGTGTCAATTTCAGAGCCAGGTCCCTGCCCTATTTGAAACATCTCTATTGTTATTCATAATATGTCAACCATAGACGCCGCAGGCATCGAAAAAGCGTTCGATCCAAAAAGGTTTTATCGATTCTAACGACCGGTTTAGCGGTAAGTCACCGACTAGTTCGTGCCTTCTATTGCACGGTACCGGTCCCGACCGACCAGAGAATCTCAGTAATTTCCTATAGCCTCGTCTTCTCTCTATAAAGCACATAACCGTAGAAAGCCATAAAGGTTATTGGATGTTGTTGACATAGATTTAAGTTAAGAGATCGTCTACTTAATACCTGTAATAGGTTTCATCTCTAGAGGTTTATCTGCAGACAAATCGCAACCTGTAAGTTCACTCTCGTCGTTTATTCCTCTACTAGATATGGCTAAAATTATTGCAAATATCGTTTAAAAATATACGGAAAGGAATTTAAAGAATCTTTTTTTATACATAGCTTTGATAATCTGTAATAAACATTTCTTTGTTAAAATGGATATGGTAAACAATGTTTATCGTTCAGACCAAATATTATTACAAACCAGGGTTGGAAAAAATCATGATTTTTTTAAAAAAATCAAAAAAATCAGATTTTTTTATTTAAATCAGATTTTTTTTATTTAAATCTGATTTTTTTGATTTTAATTCAAAACAATATTTAAATCGGATTTTCAAATTACTAGGACATATTTTCAATTAAAGTCCTATCGTAAATGGCAAATGTATACCCCGATACCGAACAATAACAATTCTACGAGGCGTTTGTGATTTTTCCACATCGGTCACCTATATATTCCGCAAAAAATGTCGTTCGCTTCAGATGAAAAGGATTTTTTTTTCAATCGTCCCAAAAGAATTAATTTTTGTCATTTTAACGCATAGGTATAAAGTAAAGCATTGTTACGCCTAAGCACAAACGTACAAAAATATATTATTAAACTGATATTAAGTGTCAAATTCAACGAGTGTACAAATTGTTGCTCGATTACTGTTTATATTATTTGCAATGTTTGAAATTGATTAAAAAATTAATTGTAACGGTAAAAAAAAAGTATGTTCTATTCGGGGTAAAAATGTACTTTTTGTGCCTCCCTGTATCGTTCGAATAGCTTTACGATGGTCTTTCAAAGGTACAGAGCATCGTCAAAAACAGTATAATTTGTACTCCTAATAAAGCAATACTCTATTGTTCGGAAATAATCAGTCGAGAATGAAATTACTATGTATTATCTAATGTCAAAGTGTAAAGTACTTATAGCAGATCAAAATGTCGTTAGAAATTTTGAAACATAAACCGTTTCAAAAAAAAATAAAACAATTTATTTTCTGACAACGATTATAGATTCTTGGGAATGAAGATATAGTCTCTATATTAGAAGAACCTAGTTCTGCACTAGACTTTGTGAATGATATGTATTCGAACAGCGAATTATTGTCACTTATACATAAATTTTAAAATTCAAGGATTCACACGAAATTAGTTCAAAAACCGGTCCAACAAATAAATTGGTGATTAGAAATTTTTAGATAGTTTTATAAAGGTGCGTATTCACTATCCGAACGAGCGAA